CTTAAGATATTTTTTTTTACAAATTTTTACAAAATTCCGTTGAATGGAAGGAACAATATCTGTGCTTCTGCCAAAAATTTACAAGAAAATTCAGAACATCAAATATTAAATCATACTAGTAAAGTGGCATTTAAGGTTAACCTGTTGAAAAAAAAAAAATCAAAATTTCTTGAAATGGCATCAAAAAACTGTTTAAGTAACAATATATAAATCTTAACTTTGTTTATAATGTAAAAACTGTCAAAATTTCAAAGAAATTCGATATCCGGTTTTTGAAATAAATCAGTAAAATCAAGAGCCTAAGGTTATTAAAAGACAAAAAACAGTAACAAATCAACAAATATTTATAATTTTTTCAGATGAGGTCATTAACTGTACGAAGGAGATAAATAAAAACAATTCTACAATTTCATTTTCTAACTGTTTTTTGACAATTATCCATGGTCTAAAGTTAAAGATATAGGTGGACTATAAAATCACAGATAAAGGGAGATAAATAATGATGAATTGATGATTTATGATAACTAACTTTTAACGTCTTCAGGTTAGTCTGTACAAAATGTTAAACCAAAATGAAACTACACGTGGTTCTAAAAAGGCAGGCTTTGTTCTAGACTCCTTATTGTTTAATATTTATATGAATGATATCGAGTTGCCATAAGGGATCTAATATACGCTGGTGATCTTAAAATATTCTAAAAAAAATCAAAACAATGAATGACTGTTAGAATTTTCAAGACAACCTAAACAGATTGTGTAATTGACCAACTACAAATGAACTTAACATGAGTTTAAATAAAAAGTGCGTCATCAAATATTTCTTCAAAATCCAACATCTCGTTGTACAACAGATGCTTTAATATTGAAAAAATCTGATAATATATGTAATCTTGAGTAATTTCCAACACAAGCTTAAAGTTTAATACCTAAACATGTTCAGAAGGTTGTAACATCTACTTATAAGTTTTTTGCTTTTGTAATTCGAAATTCTAATGCTTGGGATATTCGGAACCTTTTTTCTTTATCCACCCCATTTAAAGCAGTATTTTCATTTGTATGGAGTGGTACTCAAAAAATTCAAAGTAGATTTTTTGAAATATCTGTTTTCTAGACACAATGTTTTATCATGAATTCATGATGTTGCTTCTCGTCTTCTGCATAATATTTTTCATTCAACATAGAATTACAAACTTCTTTTAAGTCTGATATACCGGGTGACTATTAATTATTCAAGCAAAATTTTGTGTTGGCAATTCGAAATTATTGGCAGTAATGTTACCGTGTCAATTCACAGTTGTTAATTTTGACATGTGGGCACGTAACAAACGTGATGTGAAAATAGTCGCTACTGACTTGGTGCGCAAAATTTCAATTTGACAAACAGGCATTTTATCTTAAAATTTGAAATACATCGCCAACCTGACAAAAAAATCACTAATAATGCTCACTCGGTATTTCAAGGCACAGCAAATTAATTTGAGAATTAATTCTATAATGAAGATACCGGCGCGAACGAGGAATGTTATGAAGTCTTCTTTATATTAAATGTTACATAATTATGCAAGTATAAAAAAACAAAATCTTCAGTTGAAGAGATAAAGAAAGCACAGCGCTTGTTTATAGACCTTGAGAACCTCTGTAACTTTGTATGTACCGTTCATTTTCTTATTTTTTGTATCGTTTGTTTGTTTTATTTTTATTTCGTTATTTTACCTTTATTATTGGTTTTCCCTTCAATAAACTTTTGCAGCGACTTTTGTCTATTGAAGGGTCATAATAATAAAAATATCTAATACTCTAATACATTATTTTCAAGTGATATCCAAAATACCTTAGTTAAAATTACGCGGCCTTATATCTTGGGAACGAGCAGAGATATTGAAATTCTGTAAACCCCATTGTTTTTAGCTTACAGGGGATAGCCTAATTTGGTACATTGCAAATGTGACGACGCACATATAGCGTTAGGGTCGCGACGCAAACCTACTTATTTTTGTTTGCCACTTTCATATTTTCTTGACGTTTCATGATTGCTAGAGTACGACAAAATTGGTCTCCCTTTTCCATCTGTCTGTGGTTTGTCTGTCGTCTGTCTGTGGTCTGTCTGTGGTCTGTCTGTGGTCTGTCTGTGGTCTGTCTGTCGTCTGTCTGTCGTCTGTCTGCCGTCTGTCTGTCGTCTGTCTATCGTCTCTCTATCTGTGTCGATTTTTATTAGACAGATGATAAAACGCTAACTAAAATTTGGACAATCATCCCCACCACCAATGGAATAACATCATCTCCAAAATTTACAATAGTAAATTTGTTTTTAATTTTATAAGGAAGATACTCCTGCACTTGTAATGTGTGAACCCGTATTGAATTTCACCCTAGACATATAGATTTTTGGAAAAAAAAAGTTGTATAACATTTCGTAATTTAACTTTGGAAGTGCAAAACCGAATGCTCTGAAATCTTGCAAACGTTTTAAAGTTTACAGTAATCATGGTAAATCGTTTTTCAAAATTTATTCTTTTGACTCCTCGGAAAAAATTAATGGCGAATAAATCAGAATTATTCATACAGCGTGACTGAAAAAAGTTAATAAATTCCATTGTCTCGAAAATTTGGGATTTTTATTATTAATATCACACTCCATCTATCTAAATTGATAGGTGTCCTCACGAAAATTTTGATGACATCACAAAATTTTGTAATGGAAACATTCACTTGAAACAAACGGGTAGCACGCTTCTTTGTCTCTACTTTTTTTTTCTTACGCGATCATAAAAGAATAAAATTCATAAAAATTGTACTTCAGAAGCGAGGGAAGTTCCTCGACATAACCTTCGACCAATTTTTTTAAACTGCACCGTATATTTTTTAAACGGATTTTGGAAGGTTGTTAAATTGTGATTATAATATTATATACAACGTTTTGATATTTGTATGATTTACAGTTGATAAAAAATAAAATATATAAACATAAAAAAATAAAAGATGAATGAAATAAAGCAATGACAATTTATTTTATAACTAACAAGATCTGTTTCAAAACTAGTTATTTTTGCGTGATTATGTTCGAACTGCCCTGAAACGATGGTGGTTCTTTATTTATTTTCTCTCAATTCAATTTTCTTATGTTTATAAATTTTATTTTTTTAGCAATATAAAATGAAATACGTATTTAAGTATTGTCTATCAATATTCGTTAAAAACCACATAGGTTACAATTTAAAAAAATATAGGTTTCTTTTTCAAGCTAAAAATTATGGCGTTTACAGAATTATAATTGGAACAACTATGTAAACTAGTTGCGATGGAATCTTTTTTTTTAATAATGGAAACTACTATTTACCATGTTATCTTATTATTTTATGATGGTTTAATTAAATTAATGTCACAAGGCAGGTGAGGAAAAAAACACGCCCTATAAAATAATATTATTACGATAAAAAGATTAAGTAAGGTTTTATTTCGTGAGAACAAAATAAAACCTCATCTTAACTGGTATATCGTTTACTATTTTTTTTCTTGCGGTTGAAATAATAAAACTTTACATTAATTTTGACTTTCAGTGGCAGTTTAGAATTTATTAAAACGTTTTCTCCGTGGGCGGGGAAAACATTTGAAATTAATTGTTTTATTATTCTATTAGTTACTGAAAATTTGTAAAAATGATGGAAAAAAACGTGTGAATTTTGATTTATTAAAAATGTTAAGTTTAAAGGAGGAGGTGCCACTACAAATTGAAGAAGCAGTACTTATTAAGGACAAACTCTGACTTGTCTAGTTAATCGAAACATCAATACAACTTAGCCTAGGATCATTTCATAGACTGGTGTAATAACACCACGAAAATCCAAAGAAATTTATTCAGAAAATGTCCTGTCAAAATTCAGAAATTCTCAACTCCTTGGAACGACAAGCAATTCTACTTTGAATTCTGATACTTTATCAGGCAGTTCGGTTTCAGTAAAATCTCTATCAGACAGAGTAACAATTAGTCATTTAATTTAATTTAATAATATGCGATAGTTCATGAATTAAATTCAACTAAACAACTTCTTCAAATTTAAAACACATTTCTCAAGGCAACTGGTATAGATTCCAAGAAAAATCACTGATACATTTTTTACGAACTGTCTATCAACGTTTTAGTTCCAGAAAAAAATGCTTTGTTTCTGAAATAAAGATCCAGAAAACATTTTTTACGATATTTCCCTGTCAATTATCTAACAATTAGATCTTAATCAAACAGAAACATCAGGTGAACACATAAAAACAGAGCAGTTCAATTAGATTAATCAATTTTAGTGTTTAACGTAATTAAAAATCAATAACCATTTTCGTGAAGAGCCACATTAAAAGCACACTTTTAATTAAAAGTAAAAGTTTAGCAGTTCTGGGGATTATCTATCAGTCGGAAAAACATATCAACGTTGGATAAGAATGTTATATTTTGACCTGACAGACACACTGTTCTCTAAAACTATGTATTCAAAATTTTAAAATATAAAAGTATTTTTTAACCACTAATCTTACATATTCCTCCACAGATTTAACCATTTTTGTCCTTTATATTGCTATTTTATGAACTAGACTGAAGTTTAAAACAGTTCTAAAAGACACCCCTTGTCTTATTAGAATATATGGTAGGTACAAACGTGCAATATTAGCGACTAAAAAGTCGCTTACCAATTATTTAAAATTCGTAAGATAAGTCGCTAAAAATATAAGTACATAAATTCATCCCGCACTAGCTAATATAACCTGGTTACAATACTTCCCTCAACTATCACGCACGAAATAAAAAATACGTTTCCTATTACATTATTTTATAATGATGCATTCGAATATGCAATTCCTGCGGTGCATCGCACCCTACACATGCACACCGCTGCAACTTGGAAGCAGCAGCAGGTTGATGTTATTTTGAGCTCGATAGGTCGTCGGAGTGTCGACTGTGCCAGAGTGCAGTTGCATTTTGTGACGTCACGGCGACAACTGCAGCCAAGTTACCAGGATAACAGAAGGTGGTTTGCTAGATGGCAAGCGCAGTGCATTCAAAATGCACTTTGTGCATGCACATATGCACTCGTCACGTGATAGAGAAGCGGCATCTACAACGATACGCAATCATTTTCCCGGTGCCAGCAGTCGACAGTGTGATAGTAGTGCAAAAATTTTGACATTCGTCAAAATGGTTCGAGTGGATGGCGAAATTTCGTGACTTTTTTGACTGCGGTGGTGTGCAATTTTAACTAATTTTGGCGATTTCCAGGCGGGGAATTAGCGAAAATGGGAAATTTGCGGCTGCTAATCGGGAAAGGCGGCCATTTTGATTATTACTTATCAGGAATGGATGTTTTCGCATAAGGTGTGCTTCGCAGAAACAGTTTAGTTTCTTGATGTACTGGACTAAAATGATCCAAAAATAAGAATTTGAAAGGTGAATGAACCATTTATTATGTGTACCAACTATTTTAAAACTGAAAATGTATTGTAGACAACAGATTTTGGATGTGAAGGAATGAGCTGCACGATGAAAACAGACAAAAAACGAACAGTAATTCAAACGCTGAACAGATACTGAAATTTAGGGAAAAACGAAAGTGAGTACGTATATTAAAACGAAAACAGAAAAAATGAACCTCTAAATTTAAATTCTAAGGAGAAAAAATTTAGTGAAAGGTTTTTTTTTGCGTTAGAAGGATCATTAAAATTCATTAAACTCGTTAAACATCTGCATTAAGATAATGATTAATTTCATTTTAGGTTGCCAGTAGTGTGATTTGGCAGCGATGGAAAAATTCGGTCATTATTTACACGCATTCTAACTAACTGCTAAACAACAGAGGATATATATATTATGTGTTCTTAGTTAACTCTGAAATAGAAAGTACATTCAAGTGAAGAAATCAATCAATCTAGATTTGTAAACCCTCTGGCAACTACCTATTAGTCTTATGATTACGATTGGTCAACAACTTTATTATTAAATTTTCTCTAAGGTCCATTTGACGCAGAGTTAAATTAAAACTAAAACTAGGACAAACACGACTTGTATACGGGAAACAGGGAAATCGCCGTCAATGATCTGACGATTTTGTGTGGACAAGATTGATTTCGTGTGATCAATTCACAAATTAGAAATGCAAAAATTGTAAGTCTGTATTCATCTATTGTTTACTTGACACAGAAGAAGGGTTCAAACCTCTTATGACATCCGGCGCTTCATTTTTAATTTACATACAATTGATTACTTGTTTACACCAAAATTATGTTGTACAATAATTAATTAATGCAATCATATTTGTATGTTTGAGATATTTGATACTCTATTATTTAGTAGTATCTGAAGTTTTATGAGACAAGCTTAGTTAAGAATATCTGAGAGTTGTTACACATGTTCATATATTTATATACAATACACTACATAAATGTTCAATTGTTTTTTTTTTGTTTTTTTTTCAGACAAATTATTGACGTTTTTCGAAACTGAATTTTTACAGTTTAAGCAATCCAAAAAAAATGCGGCTGTATGTCAAACATAAGAAAAAGTCTTCCCACTAAAACAGTGGGATTATAATTGACATTAAAGATTATAATCACTATAAATAAGCTGTTGACAGGTAATTTGAATCTGGATTTTTTCAGATATCGAGGTGTTCATCGTTTTCAAAATCTTTCTATACAATGTCTGTATCGAGTAGTTATTCAATATTTATAACAATTATAACAAACTCCATTAATTTTGGGAAATTTAAAACAATTTCACTTTTTTTATTCTTCTAATTTCACGATACCTCCGATATTTCGAAAAAAACCCGTAAGTAGGTGGTTAGTAATTCCAATAGCAATAAAATAATTAAAAAAAAAAGAAAAATCCAAAGTCAAAAGAAGTAATTTCAAGGAGTTTTAAAACCATCAAAGTAGGTAGAATAATAATTTCAGAATAATTTCTACAAATTCCGAGTCGTGCCAGATAATTCATTTCTTCGTAATAAGTTAACTAATTTTCTGAAGTGAAAATAATTCATTAAAAAGGTAAGTAAATGTGGTCTTAATATTAATTTAAGACAACAACAGAAAAATTCAACAAAATCTTAAAATAATTAAAGCGAAATTTAAGTGACTGTAGCAATTCCAAAAAACAGTTCGATAATTTCAAAGTGTACATAACAAATGCAAAAATTCAAAAAATTTCTTCCATGAGAAAGAGGCAACGCACTCGAATCCATTGAATTTCTACCACTTAACCGCTACAGTTGTTCTGCGAATGTCATCCTGCTGTGAAAATGTTATATTTTTAGCAAAGCATATAGAAAGGATGGTAATGTAATATGCCACCATCTTTACATCAAATCCTGTATGGAGAAAGAGTTTTCTACGTCCTACCTTCTCGCTTTTAAAATTATACTTGATTACTCTTAATCAATTTAAAAAAAAGTAAAACTAATATTGACAATTCACCTAAAAATTTTTAATAAACATGTAACAAAAAGCATCTGAGCGTTCTAAAAATCTCCTTTCTAAGTACTGTTCTCTTTAGATTCGGCTGTCAGAAGCATTACAAAATTGGTCTCCCGTTTCCGTCTGTGTCATTGTCCATTTTACTAGACGCATAGTCTCCGAAATTATTGCACTGATGGTTGTGAACTTTTGGATGCGGTGTTTCAGAAATATTGTGTAGATCGTAAAACGCTGACCAAAATTTGTCTGATTTCCCAACTATCAACTTAATGACGTCACCTCAAAATTTTCGAAAGTAAATTAAATAAATTTTAAAAATAACGTTTTTCTATAGGTACTAATGGTTTATCAATTCGTCCTTATTTTTTACTTGAACGTACAGATTTTTGATAAAAAATTAAAATTGTATAACAAAACTTTATATTTTAATTTAGAAACAGCAAAACCGGATATTTTGAAATTTTGAAAACGTTTTAAGGTTATCATAGCCATAGGAAGTTGCTAATAAAATTATTTATCTGTTTATTCTCTCCAAAAATTTGATGGCTTCGTCTCATAATTTGTTTAGAACATCTTATACAGACGCCTCAAAAAAATTAATAAATAAATCAATTTATTTAATCAAAAACGACTTACGTCATTTTCCTACAATTTTATAAATACAGTACTATTTTTATTAGTGTATTGTACCTATCTATTCCAATTGATATATATGTCTCTACTAAAAAGTTGATCACGTCATCAAAAATTTTACCCTCACAATTTCACTCTATACATATTTATAATCATTACCTGTAGTTTAACAATCCATATCTATCTTTATTTTAAGTTATTGAGGCAGTCATAAAAAATACATTAACTGAATCAAATTTTATAATTTTTTAGTGAGAATAAATATATTACTTTTGATATACATATACAACGTAAAACTAATGCTAACGTTCCCGTGTTGACAAAAGTTCAGACTACTTAAATGAGATAATATACAGTGCATCTTTTTTAAAAGTGGCCATAGGGATTCCCATGTTAAATTTTAGATCACATGTTAACTTTTGTTAGGGTGAAAACCCAGAGATGATTTTTGCGGAGAAAATAACCTTAGGGTTCTACTTTAATTTTCACTACCACTTTTTGCAGTAATTTGCTAATTTGTGCTTAAAAAAATAAAAATTATTTTGATTAAAAAAGTTTGGTACATCATAGACGGTTTTGACTTATCATTTTAACTTGTCATTTTTGGCAGCATAATTTTGATTTAATCATTAAATACCTTAATTGCAGTTTTTAGAAAAGAAACAGAATGATGGAATTCAAACATAAATGAAGATAATAAAAGATAATTTCACTGAAATTGTGTTTTTAATCTACTTTTTCTTTAATTGTGTACTGCGGCATATTAACGAATTTCGGTCACTAAAAACCAGTAATTGAACGAGTAATCAAAGTTTAGAAACATCAGGTAAATGTCTGTTTTTACATGGCTACCTACAATATTAGCGACAAAAATATACAAATCTTTTAATTTTTTTAAAGAAATATCCTTTCATTTAAAAGATGATTTTTAATAAAATCGACAAAAGATAACCCAAGTTACATCCAGTAAAAATTTCAGCTCTGAATCTTTACTCAAACATAAGTTAACATGGGGTATAAAATTTAACACGGGAATCCCTATGGTCACTTTCAAAAAAGATATATTGTATGTTAAAATGTAATCTACATGAATTAAAAAAAACTCATGTAAATCACTGAAACACAAGCAATAAGTTTCTCCCTAGTGGCTTTCTTTTCTTGAGATGACGTCACTACATTTTTGAAGTGGATGAACGAATAGACTTTATTAGTGTTGACATTCCTCAATCAATAATAATGTTTTGCTACAATTTTTAAAAAGTTTGTTATTTAATCTATGAGAGTCTGAGATAAACTATAAAACTTGATGCTCTAACTATATTTCTAGGACGAATATGAACATAACGCGTCAAATAGAACTGATTTTTAAACAACAAGTAAAGGAGCATGGTATGATGCACCTAAGGAAGTATTCTAATTAAGTCCATCGGGCGATTTGCTATTTTTATGTTTTCTGGACGTTTCATGATATGTACTTAGAATACGAAAACATAGGTCTCTCGTTTCCGTCTCTCTGCCGTCTGCCGTCTGTCCGCGTCGATTGTTGGCAAATTTTGCATGTATATTAGGAATATCGTGTAGAGCTGACCAAAATTTGTCGGACCACCCCCACCACCAATGCGATCAAAATTTACAATAGTAAATATTATTTAAATTTTATAAAATAGCATACTCCTCCACTTATAGTTTATGAATCCGTGTTGAATTTTTACCCTAGGCGTCCAGATTTTTCTAAAAAAAAAAACAAAATTGTATAACAACACTTTACAATTTATCTTTGAAACTGCGAACCCGAATGCTCTCGTTAATCAAAATTTATCTGTTTACGATCCCCCTGAAAACTGATGACGTCTTCTCAAAATTTTGTCAAATAAATCCTGTCGAAAATGTGAAAAATATGATGAGTCTATACTTGTGATTTACCACTGTATTGATATTTTTTACAAGTGCGTATACAGGGTGACACAAAAAATGAATGACTCAATTTATTTTATTGATGAATTAGGAACTACAAAACCAAATGCTTTGAAATCTTGGAGATGTTTTAAAGTTATCATAGGCATGGTAAATTTTTAGTCAAAATGTATTTGCTCCTCCCCCCCCTCCTAAAAAATTGATGACGTCTCCTCAAAATTTTGCTGAATAAATCCTACCTTAAATGTGCAAAATATGATTATTCTGTAGTTGTGATTTATTATTCCATCCACATTTTTTGGATTTGCATATACAGGGTAACTCCAAAAAATTAATGAATGGGTGAATATATTTTATTGATTTAATCAGGAACTGCAAAACCGAATGCTTTCAAATTTTGGAGATGTTTTAAATTTATAAGCATGGTAAAATTTTGATCAAAATGTATTTGCTCATCCCCCCAAAAAATTTGATGACGCCGCTGCAAAATTTTGCTGAAAAAATGCTATCTTAAATGTGTAAAGAGTGATGAGTCTATACTAGTGATTTATCACTGCATAAATATTTTTTAGATTTGCCTATACGGGGTGTCTGAAAAAAATTAATGACTGAGTCAATTAATTTTATTGATTAAATCAAGAATTCCAAAACTTAATACTTTGAAATCTTGCAGACGTATTTGTCTTAAATTACAAGTACTATACAGGGTGTTCCTTTTATCTGTTTACGCCTGATAATTTTTGCATAGGCAACATATTATACAACCCCAGAGACGACTTCGCCCAATTTATTTTTTTTTAAATACGCAATCATAGCAATCACAAAAAAATGACAAATATGCCAATGCCAAATAATGACAAAATTGAAAAAATTAATACTCATTTTATTTTACACGCTACAAAAATGTAATACGAAAAAAACACAATAGACATGTAGTCGTCACGTTTCCGACAGCGAGGGAAGTACTGTCTAAACTTTTTAGACCAATTGTTTGATCTGTATTTTTGTTCGAATTATAAGCTACAAATCTAAAAAGAGTTCACCTATTTTCATCTAAAATATATTTAAACAGCTTTATATCTCAAAGCTGAACTTTATATACTTATTTATAATATTTCTATGGATTTACTACATCACTTTATCCCTTTTATCCTAATGTAATACGTCTGTGTCGGGTAATTCCGCTCTCCGTAAGTCCATTTCATCCGTAACTTAATGATTTTTTATGCCTAAGTGGTTTCGATTTAACATGACAGTTTTCTTTATCGTTAAAAAATATATATATTTTTATTCAACATTAACTTTCGAGTTGAAGTTTTCTACATCGGGATTCTAAATCGAACTCTAAAGTTGAAGTCAACACTTCATAGAATACACTTACGAAACACTAAATATATTTTGTTAACTAAACAAATGTTTTAACTAAAT